CCACCCTGTATTTTCCATCAGAATTTTTACACGATCAAGTAATGTTACTCTAAGTTTTCCACTTGTTGATTTATTCCGAGATCGAAGACGGTGTTTTTGTTCTGAAAAATTATAAATTATAAATTCTCATATTACCCTGTGGCGATTGCTCATCACCGATCGATCAACATCGATGACGGATTGATCGAGATAAACGCGAACCTTGAGGAGAGAAACAGAATACTTATACTCCTTGATCCTAATAAGAGATCTTATCTGGTGTCCTATAAGATTTTTGAAATTCAATATCACAATATGTATTAGATTACTATCGATGTAATATTAAATTCTCGAGTACAGCGATATTTTATGGAAATATTTTGATTGATGCCGATGTGCGGTTTTTGTAAAACAAGGTATACGTTTCTAAATTTGATGTATTTTTGATTTTTTTATAATTGTGCAATGTAGTTCGGCCAAAACCAAGAATTTCCATGAATCTGCTATTGCTATTGCTAAAACCTCGTCACCGTACCGAATTCTCAAAGAAAAGCACACAGATCTTTATTTACATATATATACCTGGGTAAATATTCAGCGCCTTTTTACGATGTGTATTTTTCTTACGTCCGATTATAGACGACCTTCGAAAACATTTTTTGTACAGCCTTATTTTGTTTTTCACGCATTTTATTAAATCTCAAAATCCACCCGTTAACTGTGACGAAACATTGTTTTCAAATTTTGGTAGTTTTACTGCATTTTAGATTTTTCGAAAATCGATCGGTCACACAGGATTTTGTATTTGACTCGAAATGTTTATATTGGTTAGGGATTGTCTGTTGTTCAAAATTTTGTGAAAAAAAAAGGTATGTGAGGTGTTTTAAAAATTGCAACAATTGGAAGAATAAAATTTTCACGCGTTCAGAGTTGTCATAAAATGGATTTAAAATTTGTTTAAAGTTTTTTTTTGAAATCTCAAATATTTTTTTATTTAACAACGTAATATATATTGAAAAGTAGTTTATTGTGTAGACAAATTTGCAAACATCATATTGCAACATTTGCAATATATTATGTTGTTAATAATTCTGCAAAAACAATTTTATAGAAATAATCTTTAAGCTTTAAAACGATATGAAGTAATAACAATCATGTGAGCAAAGTACAAAAAAATTTTGCGTATTCTACATTTAACTCTTCTTTAAAATATTTTTCATTGAGTGAATAACAGTTTAATACAAGTTTTATAAAAAAGCAAAATATAATTGCTAGTTATTTTTTATATAAAACTCATCACGAAAAATCGATGTTCTTCAAAAATCAATACTTTTACTTGTACAAATTTTAATTAATATTTATTGAGTGCTAAATCTGGCAAGATGTATCAATTGTAATTTAACTTCAATCATTAATTATAGCTTGTTGAGGTTCAATATTTTTTATAATATTTTTTTAGAACAAGGTAAATGTTACTATTATTTATCTAATAGTAATTACTAACTTTTAACTTGAAATTAAAAAAATTTAGAAATTGTACTAATCAGGTTCATGTTGATGAAATGGAACGCAGTTCGATCAGAAACAGTTATATATCCTTTATATTATTCGAAGTAAATTATATATAATTACTCATGTGGCAAATAGTATTAGCATAGCTTACTCTATTACAGTAATTAATCGTCATATAAAAATAAATCTCTTTTTACCATAAAAATTTAAGATTCTGCATTCACTCAGATGAAACAACGCCGCATTCAATATTTGCCTCCGAAAGATTTTATAACGCAAGAATTTTATTTTATAAAGCATTAGCATATGCGATTGTGTCTGCTTATAGATTCATTTTGTAACAAAGTTGAGAGCTATTCGATGTTTTCATAAAACATTTAAAACAATATAATAATAAAATCAAAATAAAATTTTAAAAAATGTGATGACTCTTTATGACGGCATCTTTCAACTGGAATTCGTTCTCGAGATGAAAGATGTATATGCGGTCGCTAAATTAGAAGCCTTTGGAAAAGAAATATTTTTGTGCCAAAATAATAGAAAGACATATTTTAAAAATTAGTGCCTCTCTAGATATACTTGAGAATAGGGATCGTTCAAGTATTACGTAAGCAGATTTATTACAATTATTTACCCCCTCCCCTTTGTCACCAAAAGTAAGCAAATTTCTTACCAAAAATAAGCAAAATTAGCAAATCAATAAACCCCCCGCCCCCCCTATAGTGCTTACGTAATACTTGAACGGCCCCATAGCAGAAGTTTAATTAAAATTTATTTTTTACTGTTAATTCATATTTCAAACGTTGTTCCATACTGCTGACTTTGGTACATACTTCCAGGCTACTGCTATGTTTTATTTACCAAATTGTATCACTAGCATTTTTCTGCCTTAAAGTTGTTATTTTAATCTTGAAATTATAAGAAATGAATTATAAAAAATACTTAAAATAAAAATGCAATGCAAAAGTATTGAGTCCTCTCAATTTGAGTGGAAGAAATATGATCTATTGAATTTACCTATAATATGATATCTTTCTACTAATGTAAATTTCATTCATAACATCCAGATTTTAAAATTACATTTAAATACCTGTAGTGTCATAAATAAAACTATATTACACTATCCTCTGTAAATCTATTGTTCCGATAATAATGTTTGTTGTAAATTATAAGAAGTGAGTGCATATACTTTTGGGAATGCTACTATATATGAGGCATCATAAAAGTCTATGAAGGGGAACCTGAAATCCAAAATTTACACAAACAAAAAATTTGAGAAATTTAGTAATTCGTCTGTGATTTATTCTTTAACGGCCATGGACAATAAACCTTGATGGTGATGTCGTAAACTCATAAAGAGTCCTAAACTACTGGTAGACGTCGCGTCGGTCCGTCGAAAAATAGATCTACATAATATAAATAAATTATTTAAAAACGTGATTTATATAAAAAAGGTTTAGTAAAATATTGTTTTTTAAGGTGCTATATGTATTACATTTTGTATCAACAGCGCTTCTCAATTAACGAAACCAAACCTTGATTAATGGCTAAGCAGTTAGTTACATGGAATTAAAAAAAAATTATAAATAAATTTTTAAATAGATAAACAAAGTAAATAAATTAAATATGTATATATCTACTATACATATACTGTAAAAATATTAATCATATTCAATAAGACATGGTTGTGCAATTAATGCTCATTATTCTAATTCTAAGTCATTTAATTATTTGTTTCTCAAAAAGATGATCATGCAAAACTTTCCCGTTCTATTAAGATTTATTGTTTCTTTCTATATTCAGCATATAGTAAATAATTTAATAGGTAGTAAAATTATTCATTTGTATACTATGTAGTAGTAATTGAGATGTAATCGCCTAATCCAAACATGTAACAAGTCTGTATTTGGCGTATGAATAATGCATGTATGTAAATTTCTGTCACAGATGTTGAGACAAAAGTGCATTACTCTATACTATACATTACAGAAAGTTGTATTATGAAAATCGACAGAGTTTAACAGCCTTCGGAGGAAAATCAAATAATAAAAGAAAAATATTAAAAAAAACTCCAATGTACAAAATCTAAATAGCTAAACTTAGCTCATTATAAATTTTATAGAGCGTATTTAAGCCCCATATTTGAGGCAAGTGATAAAAGTGAAGATTGAGATTAAAAATTTAAAAGTGCTTTAGATTAGTTTTTGAATAAATGGGTTACCTACCCTATTATATTAACTTTAATTAAGTAATTTAATTAATAATTTAAAATTTGTTCAAAAATAAATCGAAGTGTAAAAAAAATATTTCTATCAGAGGTGTTTCTCCACTGGGCAGTAAAAAAGTAATATTTGCTGTCAACATAAACTGGAAACATTTGTATTGATATTTACTATATTCTACTATAAAGCTTGTATTGTTGTCTATATCAGATTTATCAATAAGTAATGTCATCAAAGAATAAAACCATCCTGAATTATCAACAAATTTAGATATTAGAAAATAAATTCAACGATAATCTCAATCAATCTAATATATGCTTCAAATATGTTGGAACATATCCAAGTTTTAAATAGTATTACATTTTGCAAAGTGAAACTTTTCAAATGAATGATAGTTTAGTTATTGCAAAATTATAATCCTATTTATCCAAAGCTCTGAAACATCGAACAACAAATTTTTAAAATTATTTAACCATGGCTAAATATTTTTTAAAATAAATCCTTGATATAAGTAGAATATAAAATGTGTATTTTTGAGCAACAAGTATAAATAGTTCTTGATATTAGGCGTAAAATGTGGTCAAGTGTAAACAAATATTTAAAATATTAAAAATTTAAATAATTGAAATAAATTTAATTGAATTATTAATAACACAGAGAGTTTTCGATGTAAAGCAAAACCGTAGGTTAATTAATAATATAAATTTTTAAATGCTTTCATTTAATTAAGTGCAGAATATTAATACAAGTAAATTTATCTAAACAAGCGTGTAAATGTGGTTAATTAGCATTTTATAATTAACAACGTGGCGAGAATAGCTTAGTCGGTAGCGTTCCCGACTCACACGCCAGCGATCCTGGGATCGATCCTTGGTAATGGCATTAAATTTGAATTGTTGATTTCAAATTGCATGAAAATATAGTAGGAAGTAGAATTTATAAATTTATAAATGAATTTGTATTCTTCAGTTAATTTTGAATAAAATCAAAAGTAAAAAAGAAAGCAAAATTAGAATGGGATAACATTTGATCTAGAAAAATGAAGAATGAAGAAATTAGTTGTAAAAAGATAGTATATAATGTGTATATAGTATAGGTTTGTAATTTTATAGTTTATTACACTTGCATTATAACATACAATGAACTAAACCATTTAAACATCTAACGCCTACACAATTATGTTTCTCTCCAGGTAACATAAAATTAATTCTGAACAATATAAATATTAATTGCGTTAACTATATTTTCTATTATAGATCAAAATATTAAATCTCGATCCTTCATTACCTGTGTCATTAGTCTGTCGACCCCCGTGCCTTCTTCATCTCTGAAAACTATGTCCCTCGAATAGTTCGGCACGAGTTCCCGCATGCGTTCCGGGTCCTTCCGCGTCACAGGCCGCTCGGCGGGACCGCTGGCACATGTTGCCCGCTCACCGGAATTCGGCGAATGTTGGCGAAACACAAGCGGGACAAGTTTTCTAGAGGAATGCGGCGACGACGGGTACCGCCGCCAATTCGCCAACCGCCCTGGACCGCAACTGAGCGTCACTTGCACGCACACACTACACAGAATTAGAAAAACTAAAAGGCTAACACTACACATATACATTTTATCCGGATGTAAATCACTTTTAGTTCGGTGGAAATTAATAGAATCTAATAGTGTTTTTAGGGAAATAAAAAGTTTAAATATATAGGAATAAGGCAGATTGAGAAGTCAAGTATATTTTTTAGTATTTTGAATTTTTGTTAATAATGTTGCTCATCGTTGCTTTAACTAAATTTACAACGCATTCAATTAACTTATCAAATGTTAAGAGTTCCTCAATAGAAATTTTCTTGCACGAAAGAGACTTAAGTACCTGCACAACACTGTACTCGACACATAAACACCACAACACCCACAGTTGTAACTCATTGTAATTAGCATTTCACAAATTATCCTTCATTGTGCAGAATTAAATGCTATAAAATAGCAATAATTATTTCAATGTCAATATACTTCATTAAATCCTATTACTGTAACAAAAAGCATTAACTTGTCTGTCTATTCTCTACTATGCAAATAAAAAATGGTGGTTGACAAAAAGCGACCTGCAACAATGTGCCAGGTTTGTCAAAATTGCTAGTCCGATATAGTGTATGGTACTTTGTAGTAACTAAAAAATTTGAAGAACGAATTTCTTCTGGTGCGAAGATATTGCGGGCGTCCCCCACCGTTCATTGTTCGAATGGCCGAGCCGCAAGACGATTGGTCGAGGGTAGTGGCCTCGGGTTACCTGGCCTGACAAAGACCAGGAACCACAAGCCGAACAGCGAGAGAAAGAGTCAGAGTCACTCAGGTGTGCAGGTAAACCCTTGGAGAGAGATCGAGAACGTATCGATTCCGGTTCGGATCGCAGACATGGATCGATTAGAGGAAGACCAGCCAGGTTAAAGAAGGAGAGGTGTGCGGATGGCAATAGGTGTTGAAATTTAATTTGCGGATGTACGGACCGATGAAGAAAGCTGAAAGATGGCGATCGAATGCTTCCAACAAAGACGGACTATCGAACTAGACGAAGAAGCGAATCGATAGAACCGCGGTGTGAAAACAGAGACAAGTATAACGATTAATTTTTAAAAAGTGTATCAAAGTATGAAGCGTAGGTAAATGCCGTAAAGTAAAGATAACATGATCCCTAGGTCATATGCACGAACGAGAAAGATGCGTTTCAAGACCAGGACAGACTTATGGGAGGTCAACATGTGCCAGAAAAGGACGGAGCAAAGTTATCCGACGGAGTTACCTGTTACTTGTAGCACGTTTCTCAGGTATTTGATGTGTTCCATTCGTGCTGTGTTATTTTGGATATTTCGCGTGATTTACGAACGTAATGGCGCCTCCGATATACTCTGTTCTGTTCATTTCTTGTTTTTGTTTTTCCGATACATTCTTGTCTACTTATTGTATATTGGTCGAAGCCAGCAGAGCGGATAGATAGAGCTGACTAACAACTAACAGACTATATAGAGATAATAGAGAATTACAGTTACTTAAATGTTTCACGCGTATTAATTATCAATAGAAGATTGTAATAAAAAGAAAATTTTCTAACTATTATAAACTAAATATAGGTGACGATTAATGTAATGCATTTTTAAATCTTCATGCTGATATACAATCAGCAATTGGTCTACACGCATGTTAAACAATACTGCAGAATTTATAATAGTAGAGTTAAATAATTGAGTAGTATCTTACAAAAAGCTAACATGATCTACTCATTTCATACCCGGACGTTCAACCACTAAATTGGCATTTGCGTTAGACATTCTAAGTAGGGTAGGGCGGGGCTAGTTGAACAAATTTTTACTTAAATTTTTACTTAAATGTAGGATGTAGCTCCTCAATGAAAAGTTTCAATAAATTGCTATACGGCTTAATCGATTTGTTGTTTATCGCTTAACAAAAGTGTTAATACTATTTTTTGATAATAAGTAAAATTTACAAGCTACAGCTGTTTAAATGCAAAAAGTCAAGTATGCTCAATTTACCCCATAGGTGGGGCAAGTTGAGCACTAAGAAAATATAATGAAATCATAGGTTCAATGTCGATTAGTGATGAAATAAACTAAGTTTTTAATAACCAGTTCTATATTTATAGTCTTTTTTTATATTTATATTTATAGTCTTTAGTTTAGCAACTTTGCTCAACTAACCCCAACTCGGAATTTCAAAATAAAAGTGAGTTTATAAAAAAAAACGTGAGAATCACTGTACATATTAAAAGTACTATAATTATATGGAAGAATAACATTTATCTGATTAAAAATAAATATATTTGACTAAACCAGACGAAAACTCGTGATGAATTACCTTTTTACTTTTCGGTCTCAAAATAAATAAAACGCCCGTGAGTTTCACTCATTTGTCCAGCGGCCACTAGCGATCGCGGGATGTTTATTTCTCCCAAACCTCTATCTTTCCGCCATATAATGCCTAAACGGACGATGAATAGTTTTCGAGATATTTCGATTGCTCAACTTGCCCCTATGCTCAACAGCCCCGCTCTACCCTACTACCAAAAATTTGCTGATGTTCCATATGGAAGAGGTACAGATATTAAAAAAACAAAAGATCTACTAATTATTACCAGCAAATTCAAATCAATAACACTGTTAAAGATTTTGGAAGAAGTACAATCCAGATACACAAATAACGTGTAATATTTATTTCCAACGTAAGTGTGAATATATTCTATCCACGTATTTATCTATCCTCGGCTAATCTTAAGTTTGTCTGACAATAAGTCGCTTTTGTTTGGTTTAAAGTTAGTTTAATAGTACAATGAACTCCTATATATCACATATAACAGTCCGTATTAAAGAGCCGGCGATGTATGCAAGCAAAGTGATGTGCATTCATCAGTAGGTGTTAGTGAAGAATACACAATTGTTTATTTTAGTAATAAATAAATGTTGTCTCGCTGTCTTTTGTTTAAACTTTTAATTAACGATTCAACAAAGTGCCGTGCGGGAACGACCACGGCAAACGTTAAGGGCAGGGAAAGGAAACCTTATGAAAATAATAGAAAAAAATAAAAAGATATTTGGTAATACTCACTTTGAAAGACCTTATCAATTTATTTATATTATTTAAAAAAAATATTGCATACTGATTTGTTAAATTTTGGTCAAAAAATCGTGACATTTATTTCCAGATTTTAACAAAAAAATATTGGTTATGCTTGTAGTGGGTAAAAGTATCTCAACAAACATTTGATTTAGTTTGGAATATAATTAAACTACTACATACGTATTAATGTACTTGGCAACAAACCTCTAACCCTCCATTATTTATGATACAATATTTTGAAATCGTAATTTTACTTCCAGCTTCTTCTCGAAAATATTAGTCAATAACAATTAAATAATATTAGCTCCGATAATCGTGTGTAATCCCTTCTTGTGAAACAAATATCGACAATATTTGGCTAAAAGTTGAAGTTGAGGATTTTTTCCGAAATAAAAAAAAAATCCTTCTTTTTATTAAATTACAATCTGTCTTGATAAAAACAAAATCAGTAATTTTTTTTGTCTTTTTCTATCAGTAAGTATTTAAAGGTTATCCAGTAGTAAGATTAAATTAAATTAAATTGGCCTTGGAATTAATAAATTATAAAACCGCTCAGAATTATCATATTTTTTATGTCTCCAGTATCTGTTTTATATTTAATTAATTATTTCAGTTGCCAACCCCTGTCCTAGCAATTCTTGAACTTGCACATTTCAATTGCAAGTTCTTCTATAACAACACGCGTTCTAGGTAATTGTGGTCGTGTAATATCTACTGTACTAGACGACGTGATTTATGTGTATTTCCTCAATGTTTTATTTATTATTGATATCGTATTACAAATTGATCAATGTAATTTCATTAGATAAGAATGTACACATTCCATAAATCCATGATTGAAGTTGATGTGGGATCTACATTGCGAAGTATCTGAAGTACTGGGAATTGATTATTATCAATAATTGCAACATAATCTAAATCTGCACATCATGATTAGTAAACATATTTAAAACAATTTGTTTACTATAAAGAGGTGATTTATCAGGTACATTATAATCTTAAATTTTCGATATTCAAATATTTTCCCAAAAATTTAAATAAATAGGCAGGCAAATAGACAGATGCTGTCTTAATTTATAAATAGGTTTATTACCTATTGACAGACCATTTTAAATGGAATATTATTTATTTGCTTCTCTTCTAATCTATCTGATATCCACGCAATATAAATAATCAATATGTTGACAAATTCTGTTTCAACAAAGCAAGCTGGCGCTATTTTTACGATAAAATCATTTTGTTTCTGATGTAACTTTCTTGACCAGAATTTACTAGATCACGCCGATCAATTTCTTTATTTCAAGAATTTATTTATATTAATGCACATCTATGAATTGAACGTTAAATTTTAATATTTCATTTACACTTGCGGTCGATACAATAAATTTATTACCAAGAACATTATTATGAATAATAAAGACAATAATGTGCAGTATAAAATAATAATTACGTTTTCATTATAATATTACCATTGTGGTATATCAAATGACTTGAACTCGATTCTGAACATTATATAATCTGGGTCAAATATTCGAAGACAGTATAATTTTATTAAAGGAAATCCAGCGCAGAATTGTCGACGAGAAGAATATTTTTCTCAATAAAAGCTAGACTTTCATCCTGTATGTGAAAATTGTTGGTGTATGAAATAGATATTGCGGTAACATTGTTGTGAAATTGAATTATTATAGAGTAGGCAATATTATATTACGTTACATTTACATTTATTATATTTTTGGCCTTATTATTTTTACCTCATAGGCGGGTTAAAATGGGACGGCCAGGAAAAATTGTTCCAATGTTTTATTTTTAAGGAACTACGAAATAATAGCAAAATTATTTAACCATTGCAATAATAAATTTTATGGGTACATTTTTTAAAGAGATAATACTGTATATAACCTTGATCTGGTATTTTGTCTGAAATATTCATCAGCAGAATTGGAATAACTCTAATAAATATAAAATATACATTCTATAAACTAGGTTTATAAGCTATTGTGAATTTAGTGATTAATGTATTACTTTCTAATTGTGGTATATTTATTAATTATTATTTTTAATTTTGACCAAATTTTTAAATCGTTGCAGCAATGCCTTTGAATTACTTGCATTTTGAACGAATCTAGAGCTTTCATACTTTACAAGGATTTTCACTTGAAATCATATTCAAAATCAATTACTAAACTGATATTACTACTGCTTGATATCAGGTTGTCCGAAGACAGATTTTTAAAGTATATATGTACAGTCAATTTAGAAGTATGATTTAATAAAAGACCTACGTTTATAATACTTGA